AAATTCCATTGAAACTTAGCAAAAAATGCCTCAATGAATGCAATGGTAGAATTTCAGCACTTGAAGATAAGATTGCAGCTAGTGAACAGGCAAGGAAAGGTCTTTTATATGAAAATAATAATTCCAGAATCTGGAAATAACAATTCAACAGTTTCAAGATGATGCAAAGAAAAACAACATAAGATTAATTGTTATAAATGAAAAAGAAGGTGACAACACAAATGATATCAAGAGGCTATTTACAGAAGTAATAGCTGGAAATTTCCCAAACATGAGATTGGAAAGTGTCATACAGAAAAGTGAAGCATATAGAACTCTAAATAGCCACAATCAAAATAAAACTATACCCAGACATATAATAATCAACATTCCAGAAATTCAACATAAGAACAGAATATTAAAAGCTGTTAGAGAAAAGAAACAAAGCTTTTCCTATAAGGGAAAGCCCATCAGAATCTCAGCAAACTTCTCAACACAAACAATAAATCAAGAAGAACATAGAGTGAAATATTTCAAACCCTAAGGGAAAATGCCTTCCAACCCAGATTAATGTACCCTGCAAAACTATCTTTCAAAATTGATGGAGAAATAAGATACCTCCATGACAAAGAACAGCTGAAGATCTTTATGACCAATAAACCAACCCTTCAGAGAATATGAAAGATATTCTAGATAGACATAAAAATAACTATGACCTCAAGAACACCAACAGAAAGAAACCATCAAGCAGCACAAACAATTAAACAGAGGGTAAAGATAACCAACAACAGAAAGATAATGTTAAAAATAAGCAAATATATCAGTTACATTGATTAATGTAAATGGCCTCAATTCTCCAATTCAAAGAAACAGACTCAAGAAATAATGTCCAACCATATGTTGTATACAAGAAACCCATCTAATTGAAAAGGAAAGTCATAGATAGAAAGTCAAAGGATGGAAAACAATATTTCATGCAACAGGAACCTCCCAAAAACTAGTGGCAGCTATTAGCAGACATTGAGAACTTCAAACCAAGAATAATTTAAAAAGATAAAGAAGGCCACTATACTTCTTAGGGAAAACTTCAAGAAGAAGAGATAACAATCTTAAATATATGTGCACCAAATATAGGAGCACCCATATTTAATATTAAAATAAATATTAATATAAATGACAAATCAAAAAAGCAATAATTCAATTATAATGGTAAACTTTAACAACCTTTTGACATAAAGAGACAGATCAACTAGATTGAAAGTCAGCAAAGAAATAACAGAGAATTGAATCAAACTTGTGAATAAATGGACCTAGTAGATAAGTACAGAGTGTTGCACCCAACAATATCAGAATATACATTCTTAGCTACACATGGAGCATTCTCTAAAACAGACCATATACTAGCCCACAGAACATGCTTAAGTAAATGCAAAAGAATTGAAATTATTTCATGCATATTACCTCATCATAGCGCTATAAAACTGGATATTATTGACAAAAGAGACTGAAAAATTTCCATAAACATATCAAAATTCAGTTATGTACTCCTGAACAATCAATGGGTCATAGAAGGAATTAAAAATATCTACAAAATACAAATACAAACAAAAATACAAATGCAACTTGCCAGAACTTATGCGATGGAATGAAAGCAGTCCTCAGAGAGAAATTTATTGTGAGGAATTCCCAAAACAGGAAATCATGAAAAACACACACACAAAAAAAACCTTGATGTTACACCTCAAACATCTAAAAAAGAAGAGCAAGTGAAACCCAAAGCCAAAAAGAGTGGAAATCAATGCAATAGACTCTAAGAAAACAATACAAATAATTAATGAATCAAATACGTGGCTCCTTGAAAGAATAAATAACATTGATAAGCACCAACCAGCCTTATTTTAAAAAGGCAGAGAAAAACTCAAATTCATGAAATAAGGAATGAAAAGGGTGAAATCACTACAGATCCTGTGGGAATGCAGAAGATCATTAATACATACTTCAAAAACCTTTACCTTTACTTTCATAGGTTTGATAACAATGAAGAAATTAACAGACTCCTAGAAACATATGAATTCCAAACCTTAATCAAGATGTGAAACTGTTGAATAATCCAACTTCAGTAATTAAACTGAAAGTGTAATTACTACCTTCTAAAAAGAAAAGTCGAGGTCCTAATGGATTCATAGCTGGCTTCTACAAGAAATTCAAGGAAGACTTAGCACCAACACCCCTCAAACTCTTCAGTGAAATTGGAAGGGAAACAATTCTTCCTAACTCATTCCTGGAAGCAAATTTTGTCCTAATACCAAAACCAGAGAAAGACCCAACCAAAAAGAGATCTTCAGGCCAATCTCCCCGATGGACATAGTTGCAAAATCTCTCAATAAAATACTGTCAAACAGGATATGCAACAAGTCACCAAGAAGATTATATACCACATACAAGGGGGATTCATCCCAGGAATGTAAGGATGGTTCAACATACTCAAATCAATAAATGAATCAACTTTATCAATAGTGTCAAAAATAAGAATTCACATGATCATTTCTATAGATGGATAAAAAGCTTTAGATAAGGTCCAACACTCATTCATGATAAGAACCTCACAAAAAATTTGAATAATTGTCTATACCTCAATCTGATAAAAGCCATCTATGACAAGCAATAGCTAGCATCATACTAAGTGGTCAAACATTGAAAGCTTTGACTCTAAAATGAGGAACAAGACAAAACTCTCCACTATCACCATTCCTATGCAATATACTACTGGGAATATTAGCCACAGCAATTAGATGAGATAGAAATAAAAGGAATAATTATAGGAAAGGAAGAGATTGAACTATCATTATTTGCAGATGACATGATACTCTATAGGAGACCTATAAAACTCCATTAAAAGACCTCTAAAACTCCATTGAGAGACTTCTAGATGTAATAATCAAATTCAGTAATGTAGCTGGATACAAAGTCAACACTCAAAAATCAGTACCATTCCTATACACAGACTCACTCACTGAGAGAAAAAAGAAGCCACACTCTTTAAAATAGCACCACCTCCAAAGTTGAAATACTTAGAATCAAGCTAACAAAGGAAGTAAAAGAGTACTGTGAAAAAAAAAATTGAAGGGGATCTCAGAAAATGGAAAGGCAATCCTTCTTCATGGATAAGAAGAACAAACATTGTGAAAATGGCCATTCTCCCAAAATTGTTATACATATTTAATGCAATTTCTATCAAAACATCATTAGCATACCTCACAGATACAGAGAAATCATTCCTGAAATTCATCTGAAACCAGAAGAGACCTAGAATTACAAAGACAATTCTGGGCAACAAAGACAAGGCAGGAGGCATCACAACCCCTGACTTAAAGTTATACTACAAAGCTACTGTGATAAAATAAACATTGTAACGGGAATAAAAATAGACCTGAAGATCAATGGAATAGATTAAAAAATACAACCACAACTACAAACATACTCTGTCATTTTATCTTTAACAAAGGGGCCAAACATGTTCATTAAGAGAAAAACAGCCTCTTTAAAAAGTATTGCTGGAAAAACTAACTTTCCATATGCCAAAAATTAAAACTAGACTCATGCTTTAATCCAAAATGGATCAAAGATCTAAATATTAAAAAAGAAACACTAAATCTGCTGGAAGACAAAGTAGGTAGAAATCTTAAAGATACAGGTGTTGGCAGAGAATTCATGAGGAAAAATCAAACTGCACAGGAAATATTTCCCAGAATCAACAACTGGGATCATGTCTTATTAAAAAGCTTTGTATGTCAAAAGAAATCTCCAACAGAGTGAAAAGAAAACCCATGAATTGGGAAAAAAAAACCTTAGTTAACTCTTCCTCAGACAAAGGACTTCTATCTAGAACATATAAAAATTTAAAAAATACAGGCCCTGAAATTCAAAGATCCAATCCAAAAATGTACATCTGAGATGACTATACATTTCTCAGATGAAGAAATACAATTGGCAAGTAAATACATGAAAAAAAATTTCAGTATCACTGGTCATTACAGAAATGAAAATTAAAACAAACCTAAGCTTCCATGTCATCCAGGAAGAATAGCCAAGATCAAGAAAACCACCAATAACAAATGCTAGAGAGGCTGTGGGAAAAAAGAGAACTCTTCTGCACTGTTGGTGTGAGTATAGACTGGTGCAACTACTGTGGAGGTTCATCAAAAATCTGAGATTGGAGGCCCCATTTGATCCATCTATTCCACTTCTGGGCATATTCCCAGAAGAAATGAAAACATCATATCATAGTGATATATGTGCAACCATGTTTATCCCAGCACAATTTGTAATAGCTAAATCTTGGAAATAACCCAAGTTCCCATCACCTTAGGAATGGATAAAAAGACGTGGTATTTTTATACAATGAAATACTACTCAACTATGTAGAAGGACTACATTGGTCTTTCAAAGGTAAATGACTGTGACTTGAGATCATACATATAAGTGAAATAAATCAAACTCACATGTGTAAATACTGTATTTTCTCCCTAGTGTAAGAAACTGAAATAGTAAATAAGATACAAAATCTTTAATAAATATTGTGAAATTTTAAAAAACTGCTCAAAAGGAAAAAAATAACTCAGGGAAAAGGAGAAAAGCAGGAAGAGAGAAAAAAAGATATAAATTTGTGTACTTATACTTAAGATCACTAAGATAGTAGTACTACTAATTCTATTAGTTCATGAAACAAAACATTTAATATCTGTAGGATTAGATCAATATTTCATGACTATATCTGTTAACTCAAGTAACTTTCCATGTAGGGAGTGGCTCGACCACCCCATTGCTGTCTCCCCGCCTCTCTCCTATGGGCATATGATGCACTTGCCTACATTAACCATAATCCTCTCCTGCTTATGTCACATACCCAGACGTGATGATGACCTATCAGAAACCACCCCATAGCCTCTTCCTGTCCCACCAGCCCGCCCTTGGCCTATAAAGGATGCGACCACTTCCTGAATAAACGAGGCTTGATCAGATTCTCTCGATTTGCTTCAATCTCTCTTTGTTTCCCCCCTGTTTTATTCATCCTCATTCCCCTACAGGTATATCCCACGGATTGATCTGCAGGCTGGATCAAGTGGTGCCCAGTGTGGGGGCTCCTGGCACAGGGGAGTCAACAAGGGAGCCATTGGAGAACTCCGGCTAAAAGTGAAAGCAAACTGAATTAAGGACTGAGGCCTGTGCAGACAACTACCCAACGTGCTGCCTGAGTCACAGTGAGTGAACAGCAACCCCATTCCCTTTCCTGGACATGGGTCAAGCATTGAGCGAACATGAATTGTTCGTGGGAGGCCTTGGCAAGGCATTAAAGACAAGAGGAATAAGGGTTAGAACAAAAGAATTGTTGCAGTATTTTCAGTTTATCCATAAAGTTTGCCCTTGGTTCCCCCTAGAGGGCTCTATAAATACCAAGAGGTGGAAAAGAGTAGGAGATTCTCTAAAAGATTATTATAGAGTTTTCGGTACAGAAAAGATTACACTGACCACCTTTGCATACTGGAATTTAATCTCTGAGCTGCTTGCCCAGCAGCATGCAGATCCTCAGATTGAGCAGATGGTCACACAAGGCCCTCTGAGCTACACAGCCTTATAGTGCCCCTAAGATGATGTCTGCCTCCGGCAAGCCTCATGGCATTCTTAAAATGGTGCCTGCATCCGGCAGCTGACCCTTAGCAGTTCTCGTGGCCAGGCCCTCCCCTACAGGGGGAACAACTCAAAATTGGGAATGCAAAACTAAACCCCAAATTATGCCCAAACTAAAAACTGATCAGGGCCTTGCCCACAGGAGTGTAAGTCATATCAGATAGAGATGCATAGCTCCTGTTATGATGCTGTACAAGAATGTACTGGCAGGGGCTGGGGATTTAGCTCAGTGGCATAAGCGCCTGCCTTGCAAGCAGGCAGTCATGAGTTCGATCCCTGGTACTGGTAAAAATACAAAGAAAAAAAAAAAAAGAAAGAAAGAAATAATGTATTGGCTTAGATAATGCCACTTATTTTACAGCCATACTTACAAAAATAAAAATGGCAGCAGCCAGAGGAGATTGAGGCCTCAACCCCTCTATATTGGGAAGCCCCATATACACCCAAGCCTCCTGCAAAGGCAAGATCAACAAGCCGGTCTGTTGGTATAAGAGGACTCCAATCCATGTCTCAGATGGGGGAGGTCCTCAAGACAAAATGAGAGAACTTTATGTTGAGAAAACTAAAAGAAATAGAAGACAGTCTATTCCCAAAGATCAATTACCATCTGTTAGCTCTCCCCAAATCACAGGGTGTGGATTTAGACCCCCAAACTTATGATATACTTTCAGCCACTCATCATGTACTTAACCTCACTAATCCTGCTTTAGCACAAGACTGCTGGTTGTGCACGGCCTTAGGCAGTCCTATGCCCCTAGCCATCCCCTCCAACTCAACAATTGACCCCTCTCATGATCCACATAATTTTACATGTAGACCTTCTCAATCATTTCTAGTCCAGCCATTAATAGCACCCAACATATCCATGACCTGGCTACAGGGCTCTCTCCAAAATGATTCTACCCTTATAGATATGGGCCATCTCCTGTCCTCTGCCTGTGTTCAATTTGTCACTCATACAGGACCCCTGTGCCCCCCGACAGGACACATTTTTGTCTGCGTTAATAATAGGGGCTATACCTATATTCCAGCCAATTGGACAGATACATGCATAACTGCTTCCCTCCTACCCAACATAGATATTGTCTCAGGTGACCAACCTGTCCTGGTGCCATATTTGATTACATTGCTGGCCACCCAACACGAGTGGTAACACTGATCCCGCTTTTGGTGGGAATGGGCATCACTGGCGCTGTAGCCACGGTTCTGCTGGCCTCATCGTTGCCTTAGATAAATACACTGACCTGTCCAACCTGTTGTCTAGAGGAATAAGGGTTAGAACAAAAGAATTATTGCAGTATTTTCAGTTTATCCATAAAGTTTGCTGTATTTTCAGTTTATCCATAAAGATGTTCTTGTCTAAAGATGTTCAAGTCTTATCCTTTATGATAAAAACTCTCCAAAACCCATTAGACTCACTGGCAGAGGTTGTTTTACAAAACAGACGAGGGCTAAACCTGCTCATGGCAGAGCAGGGGAGAATCTCTCTTGCCTTACAGGAAAAATGTTGCTTCTATGTCAGTCAGTCCGGGGTTGTGTGAGGCAAGCTCCAAGAAATAGAAGAACGCTTCAACAGTGACAACAAATGGCCACTAACTCCTTCTCCTCGATGTGGGGGGGACTTTTCCCTTACCTAGCGCCCCTTTTGGGTCCCATAGCTGCCCTGTTGCTTCTCCTTTCTGTGGGTCCTTGTATTTTTCAGAGGATTATGACGCTCATTAATAACCGAATAGGCACGTTTATGGCAAAGCCCATTCAGATACACTATTACCAGTTGGAGATGACAGATCAACAAACCTACCGGGAAGGAATTCCCACAAATGGCCCATATGACGATGCGGCCTAACCGCCCTGGGGCAATGGACAGACACAGGCAACTAGGTCATGCATGTTATTCCACTGGCTGCCTAAGACAGGCACAGGACCAACTGCTCTCCTGCAAGCCCATGATGGATTAAGGCCTGGTTGGGTTCATGTAATGAGGTTCCTTGACCTAAGACAGGCACTGTCCTCACAGGGCCTGCCATACTCCTGATTAAATAATATAGAAAGGAAGGAGATGTAGGGAGCGGCATGACCACCCTATTGCTGCCTCTCTACTCTCTCCTGTGGGCATATGATGCATCTGCCTACATTAACCATAATCCTCTCCTGCTTACATCCATACCCGGATGTGATGATGACCTAACAGAAACCACCCTGTAGCCTTTTCCTGTCCACCAGCCTGCCCTTGGCCTATAAAGGATGTGGCCACTTCCTGAATAAACGAGGCTTGATCAGATTCTCTCAACTTGCTTCAATCTCTCTTTGTCTCACCCCTGTTTTATTCATCCCCATTCCCCCTCCATGTATACCCCACAGATTGATCCATGGGCCAGATCATTTCCACAATTACTATGCAAAACAACAAAATTTGTTATGTCCCTACCACTTTGTTTTGATAGCCTATGTTGTCATTGTTTGGGCTCTTTGTTATAGTTATTTGTTTGGCTCTTGCTTATTTTTCTTATATTTGCTGTGTTTGGTTTTGTTTTTCCTGCTAATACAGAAAGGTTAGATATACATGTATAGTCTTAGGTATGCCTAGAACTACACCTAAATAATTGATTTTCATATACGTGCTGCTACATTGAAGAAAACAGACAACTTGGTAGATATTGCTGATTATCCTATTATTTTGTTCTGAAGTCTAGTAATGCTTTTATTCTCAGTCCTTACTGGCTTTAGTCTGCTTTAAATTATTTGATTTCAATATGTGTGAAGGTATGGACAGCTAATTTGAAGAAAACAAGAAACATTATGATAGCCATTATTGATTTCCCATTGTCTGATTTTGAAGACTCAAAACACTCTCATTCTTTTGTTTTGATTGCTTTTATATTATTTTGATTTGTATTAACTTATTGTATATGAAGTATGGCCAACTATTTCAAAGAAAATAAGAGACATTATGGCAGCCACTTTTGATTTCCTGTTGCTTGAGGTCCTGTGTTACTTGTATTGTTTTACTCTAATGTTTTATTTTATTTTGTTTTATTCTTTTTAAAATAAAAATAAAAATAAAAATTTCAAACCAATGGTTCTTCTGAAACCTTGATCCCAGCATCTGTTTTACAATATTTACTGGTGATTAGTGCTGTTTCACAGTATTTATTTAGAGGATCAAACCCAGCTGGGGTTGTTGTCTATCTGGGACACAGTTTTGTTATGTTACACATGGAAAAGTACCTTAATCATAGTGTTTGTTATTTTTGATAAATTAAGCTCAAGGTATATTTATTCCCTAGGATGTGTTTATTGGACAGAACTGCCTGCCAAATAAGTGTGCTGTATCATATATAATATATTCATTCAGCAAACATGTATTTACCTCATACTAGGAATCACAGAGGTATCTGGTGAAATAGACTGCTTTCTCTAGGAGTGAACATGAATAGATTGCTGATTATCTTAGAGAGTGTCTCTGTTCCAATAAGTGTTCAGTAGTAGTCTGTTGAGTAAAGGAAAATATATGCTCTGTGATCTGAGCCTCTCCTTTAGTACATGCATCAACCCAGGCTAAATTATGTCTCATTCCATGTGTCTGAGACACAAAGGACTTATATGGGTTTAAAGGGGTAGCTCCTCTCTTATTCACTACCTTAAAATTGTTTACTTTGGTCATCACTACATCCATAATGTCTCACTATGCACTGTAGCAGCAACACAGTGAATACATGTGTTTAGTGAATGTCTTTCCTAGATGTGTTTTGGGCATGAATTACCAGGCAGCACTTCCTCACCTGTCACACATGTACGATGTCTCTTCATAGACAATGTAAATACAAAACAAAACATGCAGTTGTTTTAGTCCTGATCAACATTCCAAGTTCATCTCATAAGCACTTTGTTGAGAGTCTGAAAGCAGCAGTGACAAATACAGGTGGAACCAGGTCATTGACAGAACTGAAATGTGGTCCAAATGCCAAAACTAAAATGGACCGAGTGCCAAATTAATCCAATTGCAGCCTTTGCTTCAGCTGGACCATTCCCTGTTCCTTCCAACTCAGCTGCACTCATTATGCATGTGTTGATTGCTGTCTCATTCTTGGAAGTACAGAGGCATCCCATTCATTTAGAGCTTTGTTTTCTTGAACATTATCATTCACATATTTTTGTAGCTGCCTAACATAGCAATGTCCAAGAAATTTGAAAACATAGGCATTTGATAAAAAAATTAAGACATGTGTAGGGCTGCTGATAAGGACACATATAAGCATGTATTCTCTTCCATAGAAGATCAGAAGGAAAATAATACTTTAAATTGCTTTATTAGAGTTGTTATTTTCCTCCACTTTCTCTTCTAATTTTCTCAGAAATTTCAGTTTTGAAAAAATATATATAATGTTTTAATTCCAGATGTAAATTGTAATACCCCGTTATCTTGTTTTGACTGATTAAACTCTATTCTGCTCTGTATGAAAGTATCAAGTATCAGAGTATAGGCAACTACTTTGAAGACAATAAGATTCACTATGATGCCCATTCTGGTTTGACTATTATCCTCTTTTGAAGTTCTGTAAGATTTACAATG